TGTCTCGCTCGAACTCCGCCTGTTCATGTGGTAGCCGAGCGGCGCGAGCATCGGCGCCGCCCGCTCCGCCGCGAGGGTTGATGCAGCACCGCCGCCACGATGGCGCTCGGCCAGCGCCGCGCCCTGACCGACAAACGCGCACAGCGGATCCGGCATCTGGCCCACCGCCTCCCTCGCCCCGTGGTGGCCAGACCCTCTTCCACCCTTTGTGCAATCGCGCTTGTTACGCCGGATCGCATCATCGTTCATTATCTTACGTCCGTCCCGCCGCCCGCCGCGCGGCCAGACTCCACATCACCTCAACGTAAACGAACATTGATGGGAAGGCGAAACACAGTCCGACCAACGACTGGGACACCAACGCGGTACTGTGCCGTACGAAAGTCTGTGCAGCTTGTGAGGGACACGATCCCGGCGTGAACACGACTAACTGACGGATCCGCTCCTGACAGTGGCATGCACCGCGCTGCGGCGCGTGCCACTGTCTTTGTTTGAAGTTAAAAGTCGAATCAGAGCGCCGTCGGCGCTGTCCCTCGTTTTCCTCCCACGGACCGCCCGTCCGGCACCGCTCCGGGACGCACGCCGGCGAAGCACCATCAAGCTGCTGTACGGCCCCGGCATCGCCTCCCCTGGCTTAGCTAGACTGAGAGATATTGTGTATATGGTTGGTCTCTACAATATACTCACTGACACTGAACCTCCCAGAGCTCGTCCCGGTCCGCCACGGTCATCCTCGGCCTCCGGAGGGCCCCCGGCCGCGGCGCGGTGCGGCGGCGTCACAAATCCGACAAATCCGACGGCAGAGCACCGGGACGCGGTCGGGCGATCTGAGGTCCAACTAGGCGTATGCATTGCCCATCCAGGGCTATCACCTGGACCTATCAACAGGCGCCTGCGGCGCCGTGCTCAGGAGCTGCTGTTCACAGCTGCACAGACTTTAGTACGGCACAGTATGGGTGGACGCAGGACGGGCGATGACGGTCACACAGGAGCGACACACAGAACCACAAGACAAGACACTCAGCCAACGGGGCGGCTGCCACACATCCTGAGCGAACTTCCCTAGTCACCCGCGGCCGGACTCCATCCGGCACGCGTCGCTGGGCGCTCAGAGCCGCGTCCCCTGCTCGCCACCCCGACGCCCAAGGCGCCCGAGCGAACGACAGGCGGCACGCGAAGACTGGTTGCAATCCCGCCGACCGCCAGGCCGCGGGATGATGCGTGCGTGGTCTTGTAGTGGCTCTCGGAAGCTCTCCTCTCGGGCTAGGAGCCAGCCCCTCTCCCTTGCCCCCGGAACACTGTGTCCGAGTCGAGGCGTGTGCTTGCTGGTCGACGGCCGCGCGCGGTTGGCATTGTGACGAAGGTTGCGCGCGGCCGCGGCGCGCCCGCCATGGTTCGGCGCGGCGCGCCTACCAGCGGCAGTTGTCGAGGCACGGGAACGCTTACCCGGGGTCATCCTCTGAGCCTGGTCGTCGGCGCCGCGATGCCACGGGCGGCGCATTCGACGTCGTCGGCGCGCTGCCCCGCGTTGAGCCCCGCCGCTCGTAGCGACGGCCGCAGGTCGGCCCGGTGCAGCGCGCCCTCGCCGCAGACTGAAGAACGGCCACGAGGGGTGTGTATGTGCGGTGCGGGGTGTGAGGGGGCAGCGTCTTTGTGTGTGCGCGCGCGCGCCGCTGCCGGGACAGAGCGGGGCCCTCGGGGTACGCCTCGTCCCGCCCCCTCCGAGGGGGTCGTCTCCGTGGCTCGGGTTACACCAATCCTCGCTACCCAACGCGGCCAAAGGATATCCACCTCGAGAACCTCGAGAGGGGGTCGTGCCTCGAGAACCCCCCCTCCGCCGGCGGCGAGACATCGAATTTACAGGACGAGACGATCAGCCTAAGCTGCGAGCTCCGGAGCGGCAGCCGCCGCCGCGCCGCCGCAGGCTGTCAAGCCGTCGTCGAAACGGCCAGCCGATCCTTCGAGGCCTGCGTGGCACTGGCCGAGTCGCCGCCGGTCGTTTCGGCCCTCGTGCAACTTCTGGCGCCGAGCTCGCTTGGGCCAGCGTTGCAGGGAAAGGCGGCGAGAGCTGCGGACCGCCTCGCCGACTCGTGGGCCGGTGCTGCAGCGCTAACTCAGTTCGGCGCAGTCGCGGCGCTGCTCGAGGCTCTCACTCACACCCATGCTCACGGCAGCGAGAGCGAGAGCGAGAGCGGCAGCGACGGCGACAGCGACAGCGGCGGCGGCGGCGGCAGCGAGAGCGATACCGGCGGCGACGCCTCTCCTGGCTGCAGCACCGGCGGCGGCAGCAGTGACAGCAAAGGTGGCGGCAGCAGTGACAGCAAAGGTGGCGGCCCCGCCTCTCCCTCCCGCAGCGCTGCCGCCCACTCTTCGGTGCATCCCTCCCTCTGGTTTCGCGCGCTGCGACTGTTGGTGAGGCTGCTGCGGCGGGACGCCTCCTCGACTCCTCCACCGTCGCCACCGCCGCCGACACCTCTGCTCGACGCGGCCATCGCGGCCATTGCAGCGCGGAGACACCTCCTTGGCCGCGACGGGAGGCGGCGCAGCGACGCCGCGTTTGCTGTCGGCTATCTGGCGGCGGCGGCGGCGGCGGCGGCGGCCGCCGACTCGCGACCTCAGCTCGCGACCTCGGCTGATCTCGCAATCTCGGCTGATCTCGCACTCCCTGCGATCTCGCCGCAGCTTGCGATCTCGCCGCGGGTGCCGCTCCCTGCGATCCTCCGCACGGCGCTGGGACGCGCCGAGGTGTGCGCCGACGCCGAGGTGCTTCGCGGCGCGGCGCGGCCGTTGCTCCCTGGCTTGGCCAGGCTGTCGCCCGGCGCGTCTAGAACCTTCTCAGAACCTTCTAGGAACCCTCTAGGAACCTTCTGTAGGCTGTCGCCCGGCGCGTCGCTCCACGCGTGGCTGCAGCGGTGCCAGCCGCTGCCGCCGGCGGAATGGGACGAGACGCACCCGCGCCTTCGCGGAACCTTCGCGGAAGCTTCCCGGAACCTTCTAGGCGGAATGGGACGAGACGCACCCGTGCCGCGCGCTCGCCGGCTGTGCGGCGGCGGGGCTGCTCGGCCCGCTTCGGCACGGGCAGGACGTGAGGCTAGGACCCTCTTCCCGGACCCTTCCCGGACCCTTCCCGGAACCTTCTAGGCACGGGCAGGACGTGCGGCTGGTGCGGAGCGGCGAGGGCGGCGAGGTGTGCAGGCTGCCCGATGGCAGCGCGGTGACCGCCGCGATCTGCCGCGCCGCGCTCGACGACGGTGTCTCGCCCAAGAAGCAGACATGGGGAGAGATGGGGAGATATGGGGAGATATGGGGAGATATGGGGAGAGATGGGGAGATATGGGGAGATATGGGGAGATATGGGGAGAGATGGGGAGAGATGGGGAGATATGGGGAGATATGGGGAGATATGTGGAGACAGGTTTCTCGCTCGCCGTCCTAGAACCGTCTAGGAACCTTCTAGGTTTCTCGCTTGCCGTCCGGGGCGCCGGCCTCCGCGACACGGGCGTGGCCGGGCTCTGCGCCGCCGTCTCCCAGGCGGCCGGGAGATGTGGGGAGATGTGGGGAGATGTGGGGAGATGTGGGGAGGTGTGGGGAGATGTGGGGAGATGTGGGGAGGTGTGGGGAGACATGGGGAGACGGACACGGGGAGGTAGGCGGCCGGGCCGGCGAGCGAGGTTGGGGCGAACCTGTACGTGACGCCGCCGAGCGCGCGGGGCCTTGCGGCGCAACTACGACGACCACGACGTGCCTTCTAGGAACCTTCTAGGAACCTTCTAGGAGCCTTCTAGGCGCACTACGACGACCACGACGTGCTGGTGCTGCAGCTCTCCGGCGCGAAGCGGTGGGAGGTGTGGAGCGCCGGCTGCGGCGAGGCGCTCCCGCGGCTGCGCGCGCCGCGCCGCCCGCCCGCGATCGCTGGCGTGCGCCCGCGCGTCGGCGCAGAGCTGCGGCCCGGTGACGCGCTCTCCCTCCCGCGACCGCGAGATGGTGGGGGGGTGTGGGGGTGTGGGGGGGGAGATCTGGGGAGATTTGGGGAGGTAGGCGACGCGCTCTTCATCCCGCGCGGCTGGCCTCACCGCGCAGTCGCCGCGGCCGGCGGCTCGTCAGCGCACCTGACGATCACCCTTGAGGTGTGGGGAGATGTGGGGAGGTGTGGGGAGGTGTGGGGAGGTGCGGGGAGGTGCGGGGAGGTGTGGGGAGGTGTGGGGAGGTGTGGGGAGGTGTGGGGAGATGTGGGGGAGATGTGGGGAGGTGTGGCGAGATGTGGCGAGATGTGGCGAGGTGTGGCGAGATGTGGCGAGATGTGGGGAGATGCGGGGAGAGGTAGGGAGGTGTGGGGAGAGGTGCGGTGATTGTGATTAGGTGGACCCTCCCTTTGAGTGGGCGGGGGCGCTGCACACGCTGCTCCGGCTGCGGCCCGCGGCGGCGCCCTCTCGCAGACGCGCGCCGGACACGTCCAGGACACGTCCGAGACATGTCCGAGACGTGTCCTGCAGGCGCGCCTCGCGGATGTGGTCCTCGCGCACTTGTGGATCGAGGACGCCGCGGGCAGGAGCCCGAGATTACTCGAGATCAACCGAGATCATCCGAGATTACCCGAGACCACTCGAGATCACCCGAGAGGCCGTCGTCCGCGGCACCTCTTGTACTCGCCTCCCTCGTACTCACGCGGTGCTCTGAACACACCGCGTGCCGATGGCGCAGGATGCCCGCCCTCCGCGCCGCCTCGCTCGTCGCGGGCGAAGGGCGAGACGAGCGGCGGCGAGGACTCGCCGCGGCCTGCGCGGCGTGGGCGGGGGACGGCGGCGACCCACTGGCGGCCGCGGGGTGGCCTGCAGACACACTCGAGGACCCGTCCAGGACACGTCCGAGACATGTCCGAGACATGTCCTGCAGGCCTGCTGACACACTCGAGGCGGCGATTGGGCGTCTCAGCTGGGTGCGCCCGCCGCCACCTCCCGCCGCCAGAGGGGGTGGAGACACGGGGAGACATGTACATGTGGAGACACGGGGAGACATGTGAGACATGTGCATGTGCATGTGCATGCACACGCACATGCACATGCACATGGACATGTGGAGATAGGTGCGCCGCCACCTCTGGTCACCAGAGGGGGCCGAGGAGGTGAGGCTGCGGGGCGGCACGTTGGGGTGTGACGAGCTGTGTCGCCTCGTGAGAGCGAGGTGTGCGGAGCCTGCGGCGGCCGCAGACGGGGTCCGGGCGTTGCGAGCGCATTTGGTGCGCGTGGTGGAGCGGGATGCCGGCTCGCAGTGGGACGATGTGGAGGCGGCGCTGCTGGACTTGTCGCGAGCTCTGCGGCGCTGTCGGCAAGCGGTGAGGAGGGCATTCGTGGCAGTGGAGGAGCTCGGGTTGTACTCTGAAGCCTCACCGGCTCACGTGCTTACCCTCGCGTGAATCAACTTATATAATAATTGAATTAATAAAACGTGTTTCCGCCCCCCAATACGGTTGCAGAGCAGTGTGTGTGCATGTGCATGTGTGCATGGCATGTGCAAACACACGCAACACCCAACACCGCGGCCGGCGGCGGCGCATCATCATGTATCCCCGGTCCGGAACACATGCTACTGTAACCGCCGATCCATGGCACGCGTAGCTATGACAGGGACCGCGGCCGCGGACCCGGTGGCGGACGGGGCTGGTGCGCAAGCGCCGGCCACCGTCGTGCCGCCGGGGATGCGCAGCGGACGCTGGAATGGCTCCGATCGCGTGCAACTGGAGGACGCGGTGATGGTCGCAAGGATCGCAGGTGCGTCGCAGGTCAGGCTGATAAGGCCTGGCTACGCGACCATCGAGATCGACCTGAAGCACGAGAAGGCCGCGGGCGACCGCGCGTCGGTGCAGGCGGCGGAGCGCTCGTACGTCGAGCGCACCGCGCCAAAGAAGAAGGAGCTCACCAAGGAGCAGCTCGCGGCTCGGGCCGCGGCACGCAAGGCCAAGAAGGCCCGGCAGAAGGCGCGCCGGGCGAAGGAGGCTGGCGAGCGCGCCGCGAGCGAGGCCGAGCGCGCGGAGGCCCCGCGGGCGCAGCTGCGCGAGAATCCAGTACGTGATGGCCGGGCTGCGGACTGCAGCTGCGCAGACGCGCAGCCAGGCCGGGTCCAAAATAGAGGTCGAATATTCGCTGCCCCCGGAGAGGGACGACGGATATCGGCGCGGCCCCAGCAAGGTGTACGCCAAGGTTCCCCAGGGGACCGTGGCGACGACCGTCGCCTCGGACTGGCTCGCAACCGAGCTGGCCGAGTATGGAGAGATAGATGCGGCATGCCGCGACAGATTCGTCATGCACCTGATGACGGCCGCCGGCGCCTCGGCGCCGGCCGACGCCGTGTTCAGGTTCACAGCCGGCGAGGCGATGCAGACCTCTCGCCCGATCTCCGCGTCGGGCGAGGACGACGACGAGGACACCGGCTCCGAGGAGTATTCCGACGACAGGGCGTCCGACCGCTAGCTGGCTTCAACCATATCTTACCCTTTCTGCCCCCCCCCCTCCTCCGACCCCCCAGGCTAGATGGAGTAGTCAGATGTAGATTCTGCCCCACACAGCCCCTTACCCCTTCACCCTCGCCTCGCTGCTTGGTGTTTCTGAACACGTAGTCGTCCACGCTGTGGGGGTTGTGTGTGGGTCCTGTGTCTGGGAGGGAGGGAGTGGGGTGCAGGTTGCTCACCCACGGCACCGGGCCGGTGCTTGCACTTTGAATGCCGTGGGGCTCCTGCCCGTGTCCGGGCGTGGAGATGCGAGGGTCGCCCCCCCTTGCCCCACCACTTTGTGTGTGTGGAGACGTTTACCTTACCTTACCTTACCTTACATCCCCGGTCCCCGCGCCGCCCGCGCCCCGCCCCGTAAAGCGTAATCCATAGTGAAAACAACACCGCCGGTGGGTACGCAGCTTCGCCACAGACCGCGTCCCGCGCCTCGCCGCTATGACGGCGACACGGCCGCAGCTCGTGTGCGTGTCGCCGTCTTTGTCCGGAGTGAAAAGTCCAACGCGCTCGTCGGTGACGGCTTCCTCCAACCTTCGCCGCGCTCTGCGACCTCGACAGCGCCTTCGGTGGCATGCTGCTCTTTGCGACAGAAGCCTGGAGAGCAGCTCCTCTGCTGCTCACACACTCTGCACAGTTGGCACAGCCTACTGTGCGGCTGCCACAGCTGTGACAGCGATGGGCTCGCCCTCACTGGCCCTCAGTCACTTGTGCTGCGGCTTGTGTGAGCGACACTGCTCGGCGACTGCCGGCACACTGTGAGATCATGGGTGTGAGGTAAAACCACGCTACCAGCGCTTGGTCACATCGGCCCCGAGGTCAGATCCGTCTACTCTGTTGATGACAAGACTTGTCTCTACTCGCTGGAGCCGAGCAGGAGGGCCCGGCGCACAACCCCTGGTCAACTCAGGGTCCTCTCTTCCCCCGTAAAAGCAAAAAGGGAATTCCCAGTCAGTACCCTCTCCCCCGGTACGGCTCTGTCTAGTCTGCCTATTGGCTCTCGCGTCTCGGCTCTATCTAGCCTCTAGCTGCAGGCACGCTAGACTCCAGACTGTCAGTGAAGACCCCGTGGATATAGATCGCTTCACGCCCGTCACGGAGGGGTGACATGCCGTGGGGAAGGATCCTCTCAGGCGCAGCAGACCCCACCCACCTTGCTCACCTGGTAGGGCACAAAGTATACGCACTTGCCGACGGCGACCGCGCCGAGGTACTTGTCCCCCTCGCGCTCGAAACCGGCCGAGGCGGTGTCGATCCGGCTGATGCCGCCGCTCTCAGAGTCGTACACCAAGACCTATCACGCGTCGCGGCCTGTGAAACCGGCGCCGCAGCGTCCTCGCAGAGTGCCGAGGTGGGCTCACAGAGTCCTCGCTCCAGGGCGCAAAGAACACGTACTTGCCGAGGGCGGCGGCGCCCCAATAGGGGCTACACCCATACCCTTGCGCATTTGCGCGCCTGCAGCCTCCGCCAGGCAGCGGACTCGACAGCGAGAGGGGCCTAGGGTCTCCGCTCGGCAAAAGTTCTCCACCTTGAGCACTTGAGCACTGGATAGGGTCGATTCCGCGTGGTACGGGACCCCTCGATCGTCTCGCCCTCCCTCACTGGAGTGTTCATTGGGGGGGGTCATAACAAACACGGTACAGGATCGAGGTGCACGCTGCCGAAGCAGTGTCGCCCCCCCTCTCCTCGGCGGGGATGGCGGTGTGACCGATCGAGCTACAAGAGGAGCTTGTTCAGCACGATCCGGGTGGGTCGAGCAGCGTCTCCACCTCTTCACCTCTGGGTCTGGACGGCCGCGCGAGAGGTAGACGCCACTGGCCGGGCGCCGCTCCCGATCGCGGCTCGTGCAACAGAGAGAGGAGAGCAGTCGACCAGTCTCCTCCCTTCGTTCTTTCTCTTAAGATCACCGCCAGCGGCTTTCTTTCTGTGTCTTGTGAGCCTGTTTGTGCCTGTGTGTCGCTCGTGCGTGTCGTCATCATCTGTCTCGCGTCCACCCATACCGCGTTGGTGTCCAGTCCGAGCCTGACTGTTGTTCATCTTTCTACATATGTATGTTCGTAGGGAGGTGATGAGGAGTCAGTTAGCGCGGCGGGCGGTTAGACGTTACGAGCATACATTCTTTCTGTGAGAGGGGCGTGTGGTATAATTCTTTTTCCAGTGTATGTAGCTCTTACGTACGTACCCGATGGTGAACTGCTGACAGGGTTTGCGATGACGAGCGATGCGAATTCGTTTTTTGGGCGTGATAGAATTGTATTAATACCTTCGTGTTCGTGTCACATCCTTGGCCTGGTGCCGCGCCCTTTGGCTGCGACGGCGCTCCCCAGCTGCTCAGGGATGCGGACCCTCTTCGGCTTCGTCGGTCGCACTCCCGACCCGCCGCGCCGCCAACAAAGCGGCACGAGCACCCCGGAGCAGCCACGCCGCCTTCGCAGCAGCCCGCGTGCGTCATCGCTGAGCGTCGTCATCACTGAGCCTCCGCCGCAGTGGGAGCGGGCTCCTAGCATTGGCCTCACCGCGTACGAGGCTCTTGCGAGGCTCGCTGGCCAGATCAGCAAAGAGCGGAAGGCCGGCTCAGTGAGCGCGCTGCAGGCGACGGCATCGGAAGCTTGCGACGAGGAGGAGGCGAACAGGCCTCCAAAAGGCTCGACTCTGTCGGACGACGACGACCGCACTTCATCTCCGGAGGACGCCGTCCGGTTCACTTGGACCGGCGAGCCGCGCTGGACCGGAACTCGGGCCGAGCCTTTCCCGTCGGGTGCCGAGGTGCCGCCTCGAGAGCGGCAGAGGGGAGGCGACCCGCATGGGAGGGAGAGCAGGCAGGGCAGACGGGGCAGTCAGCCCGCCCCACCGAGTATTGGCCCCACCGTCATCATTGCGGTCAGCGAGAGCAGCGGCGGAGCCTCTCTTCCCGAAGCGCGAGCGGAGGTGGCGCTGCTGCAGCGGCTTATTCCGGGCGAGGTGCATGCGGAGCACCCAAACCCTTTCGCCCCGCTCAGTCGCCTGGCGTCGGTGATCTAGAGTATGCGAGTTGCCGCTTCTTGAAGTGGCGCTACTACTACCCTAGGTGCTGGTGCACGAGAACCCAAGCGCCGACAAGCTCTCCGGCCTCCTCCGCGACTGCACCCAGCTGCACCTCGCGTGCCACATGCGGCGGGGCAGCACCGTCTTCGTGCGCGGCAACGCGCCAGAGGTGCTAACCCTAACCCTAACCCTAACCCTAACCCTAACCCTAACCCTAGCCCTAACCTCCCCATCTCTCCCCATAGGTGGTGACACACGAGCCGGTCGTGTTGGCCGCCCCGGCCTCGCTCGAGCGCGCCGTCCTCAACTCGTGCCACTCCTAGACACCTCCCAGACACTCCCTCGTCACTTGCTGGACACGTCCTCGACACCCTCCTCGACACTCCCTCTCGCGCGGCACAGAAAGAAAGTGCACTGCGCCTGTTCACACTCTAGCGGTCAGTAGGTGCCACTCCGCGAACCTGGCGAGGCTGCTGCACGCGCGCGTTGCGTGCCCCGTCTTTTGCTGGGCGAGCCGCGTGGAGGACGAGGCGGCCCGGCTGTTCGGCGAGGCGGTGTGGTCGAGCCTGCTGCTTGGCCGCTCTGACCGGGAGGCGAGAACAGCCGAGATTAGCCGAGATTAGCCGAGATTAGCCGAGATTAGCCGAGATTAGCCGAGATTAGCCGAGATTAGCCGAGATTAGCTCTGACCGAGAGGCGTTCGAGCCGTGGCTATCTCGGCTGCATCTCGGCTGTACCTCGGACATCTCTCGGCAGCATCACTCGTCCAGCGCCCCGCCGTATCACGCGCCGGTGTCCGAGTCGTTGGTCTGACTGTGCTTCGCCTCCTCATCTATCCTCCAGGCGTTCGAGTTCGGGCGCTTCGCCGTGACGGCTGACACCAAGCCGACGACGGCGAGGGACGGCAGGCCAGCCCGCTCCCAAAAGTGCGCCACTGCGAGACGCCGACGCGGCAGCGGTGAGTGTGAGGCAGCGTCTCTTCACACCTGCAGCTGTGAACAGGTTCACGCTGCGAGACCCCGACGCGGCCGCTACAGAGGCGATCTGCGAGGCAGGCATCCGGCTGGTGCCTGCCGGGGTGCCCTATCCATTTCCGATCTCCGATGTGTTGGTAGCCGAGCTGTCGCCGAGCGTGTCATGATTGCGGCGGTAGGTGCCCGAGCTGTACGACGGCACCCGCTTCCCCTTTTGCCTCTCCTTCGAGCTCCCCGCCCTCGCCTCGCCCGACGAAGACTCCGACAGCCTCGCGCGCGCAAAGATGCACCTGCGAGGCTACCTGCGGCGCACGTGCGGCCTCTCCTCGTTCCGCGACTCTGACCTCGAGATCGACCGGCTGACGGCGGTGTGGCGCATCGCCCTCTTCGAGCGGGACGGCTTTGAGATCACGCGCGCCAATGGCGGGCCGGGTCGAAGAGCGACCGCCAGCGGCGCACTCTCATTTGAGTATTCAAGTGTCTAGTTCTAGGCGCGAGTCTGGTCGAGGGGGGTCCGCCAGCGGCTCACTGTCCGTTGAGTGAGTGTTGAACGGCCGAGTAGGCGAGAGCCTCGTCGAAGAGCTCCGCCAGCGGTACGGCGCGACGCACGCAGACCTTGGAGGTGTGAACAGCGTCTCTTCACACCTGCAGCTGTGAATAGGTACGGCGCGACGCACGCAGACTTTGAGCTGCGCGCGGTGCGGCGTGGCTCGGTCCTCCTCACCATCGTCGGCGCCCCCGCGGCCTTCGACCTCGTTGCGAGGGACTCCGGCTTCGCACGCGCCGGGCTGGGCGGCATGGCGCTCAACGGGCCCGTGCGACTCGTGAATGAAAGCGAGCCATTGACGAACAGGCTGGGCGGCATGGCGCTCAAGGAGCCCGTGCGGCTGCTCGCACTGCACGCGCAGGTGTATGGCTCGCGGGTGGCGCACGCGGCGCTGCTGTGCCCGCGGCGCAAGGGCGAGGCTGAGGTGCGAGATAGACAGAGAGGCGAGGTGTGTGGGCGGGGTGTGTGGGCGGGGTGTGTGGGCGAGGTGTAGACTCACCGACGAGCTCACTGGTCAGGTGCGGAAGACGTGGCCTCTGTCCTTCACGGGCGCTGGACGCTTCTCCGCCTCCGAGCACGCCTCCTCGCCCGCCATGCTGGGGGGCGAGGGGGAGGGCGTGCCCGTGTACCGACGCGCCGCCGTCGCGCCCCGCGCGCTGTCGTGGCCGCGGGGGCTGGCCGACGCGGGGGAGGGCGCGCTGGAGGGGGGGGAGGAGGAGGAGGAGGAGGGGCCGACGGTCGCCGTGGCGCCTCTCCCTCCCGGAGCGTGAGTCTGGAGACAGCGTCTCTTCACGGCGGGGAGCTCTGTCGATAGGTCGTCGTGCCGCCCCTCCCTGCCGGGCTGTCGAGCCTCGGTGCTCTCGTGCGGTTGGGAGAGGAAGGCTGAAGCGTGACACGATTGCAGTCACCCGTCCTGGCGGGATGCGAACAGGCTATGCGCAGCAGATGGAGCGAGTCGGCGCGGCGTACGACGCCCTCGTCTGGCAGAGCACCGGCGAGGACCTCGGCGTGGGCTTCGGCGAGGACCCCGCGGAGTCGCGGGCGCAACACCTCGCGGCGGCCCGCCGACGAGCGCGTTGGCAGGCGGCGCGGCCGGCCACCAGGGCCGTCACGGACGCCGCCGGGGTATTCAACCGCCTGTCGCGCCGCTCGTCGGTCGAGTCGGCGGCGGGGCGCGCCTCTGGCCGCCGCTCGCAGGCGAGCGCCTCCGGACGGCGGTCGCAGGACGCCTCTGGCCGCCGCTCGCAGGAAGAGCTTCCGCCGCGCCGGTCGTCGGGGGCGGGGGCGCAGCAAGGCTGGCGGTGGAGGTGGGAGTAGGGGAGGTCGACAGGTGCGAGGCGCCGGCGGACGTTGATATGATACGGGAGAGAGTTGGGGCGCAAAGCGCTGTGGTTCAGTCCGTTGTGTGTGTGTGTGTGTGTGTGTGTGTGTGTGTGTGTGTGTGTGTGTGTGTGTGTGTGTGTGTGTGTGTGTGCGTGTGTGTGTGTGTGTGTCTGGAGCCGTTTGTGTTATGAAATAAACGGCGCGGTGGGCGTGCGCGCGGCACGGTGACGTATGAGGTATGTGTATCACACACAGATCTCGCCGCCTACGGGCGCTGTCGAGAAAAAATCGAGGTTTTGCGAGATCGCACGTCCGGTTGGCCGTTATTTTTGTGAGTCGTGGCGCTGCCCGTGTGTTCTAAGCATGTAAGAGGATGCGTGGAGAGCAAAAAAGCGTGCACACGGGCTATTCTGGCCGACCCCAAATCTCCCCTCCCGACCCCTACCGCCTTGCTTTCTTTTTTCTTAAGGGCGTTCTGTGGCGCCGCTCGCGCTCCGCTCTCTCTGAACCCGAGCGGGTCCTCCTCCCAATGCTAACGCGCAAACTTGTACGTACTTTTAGCTTACTGGGAGAAAAGAGAGAGGGGGTTGTGTTCTCTAGGCCCCTAAGGGCCCTACGCGCGGCGTGAGAGCTCGGAAGCGAGCTTTGCACAACTTGTACTTTTAGCTTACTGGGAGAAAAGAGAGAGGGGGTTGTGTTCTCTAGGCCCCTAGGGGCCCTACGCGCGGCGTGAGAGCTCGGAAGCGAGCTTAGCACGGCGATCGAGGATGGCACGGTTCACCCCCTTCACCGAAGCGATGGAGATGCGTTCCCTCTCTCAACTTGTATACATACAAGTCACTCGAGTACAGGGACATGCGTCACTCGCCAGCATGCTTGCACATCTCGGGCAGCTTGCTGCCAAGCAGTCGTGGGAGGACCGCACGCACCGCCTGGGATCGTGCTCTGTCACGCTGGTGAAGCAACATAGCAATGCAGCGTGCATTGCTGGCAAGTCATTTGGCTGTGACAGCAACGGGGATGTGTGGGCTCGAGGCTGCCGCGGCCACTTTCGCTGCGGCGCGCAGGACGAGGATGCACGATTCGCATGTGGCTTTCCTCCTGGACGGCCAGCGTACACATGCAAATGCGTCCGCCGCATGGCAAGAAGGCCACGCACACCGCATCGCGAGGGCCTGTGCTCGGTGACACTCGTCAAGCAGCACAGCCAGGCAGCATGCGTGCCCGGTATCACCTTTGGCTGTGCAGGCGACGATCCTTCGGGCCGGCGAGTTTGGGTGCGAAACTGCCGCGGTATTTTCCGCTGCACGGGCGACTCTGCATTTCACTGTGGTTACCCTATAAGCCGCCTGCCCAACCAGCAATACAACTGCTCCTGCGACCCTCGAGAGCAGATTATGCCAGGCTGCACGACCCCGGTGTGCTTGCGGCTACGAATGAAGATGAACATCGACGCCGACCTGCTTGCATCCTCTTCACTCGTCGTGATCGGTGCTCACCATTTCGGCCGCGACTCGAACGACCCCGTGTATGCCGCCGTGGCCACCGTTGCGTGGTCGCGTGTGCTACTAGTCGAGGCGAGCCCCATTGTGTCCGCCGCTCTTCGCGCGCAAGTGGTGCAGGCCAACCCCACGCCGCACGTGCCACCCGACCAAGTGAGCGTCGTCAATGCGGGTATTTGTCCCCTCGGTGCGAAAGATTTGGATGCGGCCGGCTCCAACACACCCCGCCCCTTCTTCTCCCTCCCAGCGATGGCCGGACTTCCTCACTGGGTGAGCCAAATTGGCTCGTTCAACGTTGAGCACATCGAGTCCCACTTGGTGCCCCTGGTGAGCTGGCAGAGTGCGGGGTCAAAGCTCGACGTCTCGACATTGCGACGCTCCATTCGGGCCACAAATGTCAGCTGTGGCTCGCTGCTCCGCTTGTTGCGGCAGCAGAGCATGCCACCCATCGGGCTGCTCGTCGTGGACACGGAGGGGCTCGACTGCGAGATCCTGGGCAGCCAAGATTGGTCTTCAAAGGAATGGTGCAAAATTGGACCCACGGTCCTCGTATTTGAGTGGAAGCACTGCGTGCCCTCTGCACACACAAGGGCTCTGCAGGCACTTGAAAGTAGCCGCTGCCCAGGGCGTGAGCCATACCGCGTGGTGATGGAAGACCATGAGAACACCATCTTGACGCGTGTAAAACGACTATACTGGGGCAGCGAATCCCCATAGGAGCTGAGCATACGGCCAGGCGACGATGCCGGTGGGCTGCGACAAGTGCGACCAGTGGTACTGCCGCGAGCTGCACGGACCAATGGATTCTGCCGCACCTATCGACCCGTTTAGTGTGTAACCTATGACCTATGACCCAGAAAGAGATATACACACTTTCCCCTGGAGCCTGGGACCGGCCGGTGGCGGTGGGGTGCGCTCTGCGCACCCGCGAGGGCAGAGGCTGCCGCCTCTCGGATACTCGGCCATTCCAACGGCCAGGCCGCTCGCTTAAGGTTCCCCGGGCCACTTTCGGGGGGCAAACCCTGCCCGGCCCCTAGGACCCCGGGTAAGGCCCAGGTGTGGCCTAGGGCATCAGAAGGGACCCATAGGAGTCCAGTCTGAGCCATAGAGCCCATGTCTTCGCCCCCGAAGGTCGCGTTCAAATGCCCGGAACGGACGTCACAGTGGTGTCCGGCCGGCGCGATCACCGAGCTGTGACGCTCAGGGAAGCCCGATGAGGTGCTGGTTTCTTTGCCCAGGGCTGGCCTTCCCCTCAGGGAGGATAAGCTGTGCAAGGCCCGCCCCGCTTGCTCTCGGATTACTCTAAGACCTCTGCGGGGGTGCTCGGAGATGTTGACACCGCACGGGACTCACCGCCCTGGAGCCCCCAGAGAGGTTTGCATGCCTGGATTTTAACACATGAGCGAAGCGGCTTCTGAGCAATCGGTCCAAACTCACAAGGCGGTTCTGGCTGAAAGAAACAGTCCAGGCTACCCGTCCG